CTCTGCATCGCTTACCAACCTCTCAAACATCTTGGGACAATCTTGAAGATCTTCTTCAAGTGCTTCTGCAATCTCTTCGACTCGATCACAATCATATGTATCTCTGCCATTGTCCTTTGAAGCACATGTCGTATTATTCTGGGGTTCAACATTCTCGTTACTTATCTCACCATGTAATGTCCAACATGTGTAACTTCGATCAATTCCATGTCTCATTAAATGAGATTCCAACTGAACGGCGTCAACTCGACGCCCATAACAACATCCTAAGCAAGGACATGTGATCCTACTGGGGTCTTTGGCGTGTTCAACAGCAAACTTAACGAACTTCAATACCCCATTCTCGTACTCTTTTGACAATCGATTACCAGACATCCATTTTTATCCATACTAATTGAGTAATCTACACTAAACTATAAAAGTTAAACAAAACAGAGAATACCTGTAAGGAAATCACTAACTTCTAAGAATGCTACGCAATAGGATGCTTGGAAACGATCACAGCTTTGCTCTTCACAGGTAACCCCTATAGCAGACAAAATATAAATTTTATTAAAATCATATTAATTATTAACCAAGACAAAAATACTAGATAATCCACCAAAACAAATCATATTAAAAATACTAGATAATCCTTAAACCAAAAAGACACCCTTACTAAATATTGAGAAATCCTAACTAAACATATAAAACCATAATAACATATCATATAATCATTGAGAAATCCATACTAACATATCAACATATAAAACCATCAACATATAAAACCATAATAACATATAAAACCATATCATATAAAACCACATTCATGTTGGCTACTCTCTTAAAAAATAGGAATTTCCAAACTATATTGAAAAAAAATATGCTCTATCAAGTTACATTAATATTTTTTAATTAATTAACAATTCATTTTCTCTCATTTTTCCCTTACTTTTTTTATTCTATTCATTCTCCATTTGTACAACTTTTATCAATCTCTTCCATTCTTTATTCACCTTGCAAAACTATCTACCACCTAGTCATCACTTAACAACACTAACATTCATCATCATATAAACTCACCACTAATTTTCATTCTCCATTTGTACAACTTTTACACACTATCTTCACTTTTTTGATTCTATTCATCTCTCACTATCGTAGTGTATTGGTTCTATTCACCTTGTTTCTAATTGTACTCTTGTTCTGAATTTATCAGTACATTGAATCAAAATATATAAAAACAACAAACAGTTCCCAGGGCAATTCATTAGTTTCAATCCAAACTCTTGTTTGTCAATCTAAAACATACAAAATATCCGTAACAATGACAGAGAGACTTAACATGTAGATTAAAATACAAAATATATAACATGCAACAGAGAGACTTAACATGTAGATATCCATACAACAAGATGACAGAAAATGACTTAACTTGATTGCATTCAAATAATAAAAACATATTCAGTTTGTCTTAAAGATTACGGCAACAATGGTGAAAATATACGTAAAAAAGAAAACCAGAGTAAAACTTCAAATACCGTAACAATGGCGGAAATGCAATGCAGACGAGCAGAGGGACGGTGAACGGCTGCAAATGCAACAGACGAGGGCGACGGCGACGGTTGGACGGCAAAGGTGGTTTATAGGGCAACACTCTTTGTTCGCCAGAGAGAAAGAAAGAAAGCAACGTAATATTACTGTTCTGTTTCTCATAAAAATTCTGGTGGGTATTTTAAATTAATTCTAATAAACCTATAGCAGCGCTTTAAAAAGCGCTCTCAAAGACCTTCTAATGTAACCCATATAGCAGCGCTTTATGGAAAAAGCGCTCTCGTAGACCATACCTACAACAACGCTTTTTGGAAGCGCTGCCTTAGGACCCCCCCTTTAGCAGCGCTTTTTAAAAAGCGCTGTCTTTGGGCTGTCTTAGACCCCCCATTTGGCAGCGCTTTTTGGAAGCGCTGCCTTAGGACCCCCCCTTTAGCAGCGCTTTTTAGAAAGCGCTGTCTTTGGGCTGTCTTAGACCCCCCTTTTAGCAGCGCTTTTTAGAAGCGCTGTCTTAGGACCCCCATTTAGCAGCGCTTTTTGAGAAAGCGCTGTCTTTGGTTATTAATTTTTTTCTTTTTTTTTTATTCCTCTTTAGCAGCGCTTTTTCTAAAAGCGTTGTCTTTGTATGCGCTGCTAAATGTCATTTCTGGCGTATTGCATACGCATCATTGTTGTCAAGAGACAATGCTTGCTAGTTTCGTAGAGACTAGTGACTTGTTCCAAACCTAGAGTGGGGTTTGAAAGCCTAGAGGACGGGCTTTTGTTTGTTATTGGTCTAGAGGACGGACCCGGTTTAAATGTAAAAACCGAAAAATAATAACAAGTGTTAGTACCACATGACATGAGTTGCATTGAGTCACATGACATAGGTTTAATTGTTGTATGAAAGTATGCATATGTGTATGAATTGTTGAAATGAGAGTTGTGAATTGATGAATAAACATAATTGTAAATGTTTATGTGGAAATGAGTGAGTTGCAGATGTATGTATGATGAATGTGCTTGGTGATTATCCATATATTTGTATATACATTGTGATGTATATGGATGACTTGTGGTGAGAATGTTGATTATGTGTATTCTTGGATTCTATATATATATATATATATATATATATATATATATATATATATATATATATATATATATATATATATATATATATATATATATATATATATATATATATATATATATATATATATATATATATATATATATATATATATATATATATATATATATATATATATATATATATATATATATATATATATATATATATATGCATTGTTATTATGATAATATTTCTCACCCTTCTGCTGGAATGATGTCCTATCTGACATCGTGCAGGTATCAAGAGTAGAGCTGCTCGTAGTTGCGTGGTCGCTGTTGGTGTAGCTATTTAGTATTTTAGTTATGTTGGGTCGAGTCGTGCTCTGGTCATGTAACATAGGGATCACTTGGTTTATGTCTTAGAGATACATTATATATTCTACGCTATGTTTTTATATTCATTGGAATATTATGATGTTGGCCTTGGTGCCTAATTAATGTTGAATTATGTGATGAACATGAATATTCTGTTAAGAGAATTATGATATAAAATGAATCTGCTGCTACATGCAAAGTGAAACTTTGAAAAGCAAGATTATTTATTAAAGTGTTAATGAACATGACAGGTGGTTGTTGATGTTTTGAAAGTTATGTGTGACACCATTTTGTGAATGCATGATGATTTACTCTGACTATGTATATAAATTCTGTGGGGTTAAGAAGGGTGTTACATCATCCATCATCTATCACTAACAACATATCATACATACATTAAAACTAATTGAAATTAAACTAAAACTAAAAGAAAAAATAATTGAAACAACAATGGAACGCGTGAATCCAAACGTTCACCATCGTTCTATCCATCTATCACTGAAATTCTGGTATGCAGACCTCAGATGTCCCAAGAGATGTCGAGATATTGATCTCTGCATAACTAAACAAGGACAGAACAGAATAGAACATACCAGCATAATCTGACATCTCAAGTTCATAACAGGGTAATGACAGATGTTTTAACATCTGTTATGACATGTATTTTAGAGCAAGAGAAAGACTGAAAAATTCATAGAAGAATAAAAAATAACTCCACATACCATCACCATGGGCTTCGAGGTCTCTGTCCAATCATTCCTTGATTCATGTTCTAATTGCACCTTAAATCTTGAAACAGATCTGCAACGAACCTGCTGTATCAGACCAAGATGTTGAGTTCTCAAGATACGACATCTTGTCTAACATGTTTTTCTTTACAGATTTCTTCATGTTAGAACATCTTGTTCAACATTATGTTTTACCAAAATTTGGTCAAATATTAGAGCCTTCAATCACTATGACACTCATTATTCATCCATCCAACAAACACAAAGCCTAACCAACTACTTTCTTCATAATCAATCTTAACCCTACCTTAAACAAGTCACGAGGATCACTTATTTTTCTTCCCTCCAAAAATCCTCTAACATAAATATTTTCCCTCTAAATTCATCCCCCAATCCCCTATATAATACACCCTTCATCTTCACTCTAACACACAAAAAAATCCCCAAGAAAACACTCCCTATTTTAAATCCCAGCCCCACTCTAAAGCTTCCCTAATTGAGTTACTCAGGTTCCTCACTTGAATCTGAATTAGCTTCGAGCCTAACCTCTTCATCAAAATTGGAAACCTAAACACTCAATCACTGGAACTTAAGCACTTACAGAAGCAGTAGAAGGGAGTGAGCAATAACTAATAGCAAAAAGAAAGGATTTGAAACTCACCTGAGGTATATAGTGTTACCGGAGTTACTCAGGTTCCTTATTGTTTTACCTTGTTTTTTGTTAAACCCTAACCCTTGTGTGTTTCTTGATAAGAAAGAAACGTTTATACTTTGTTTAAAGATATCTGGTTCACAACAAATATGCATGCTTCAAGTAGTTGATCACTGATGAAACATGGAGAAAACTTTATGCGGAAGAGTTGCCGAATGAGAAAGCGCGAAGATTTTACCAGTTGTTGAATGAGGTGAATACGCCATTGTTTGAAGGGTCGTCGAACTCCAAATTATCAAAATGTGTGAGATTATTGGCTGCCAAATCAAATTGGAATACTCCTGCTCAGTATTTGAAATTGTTTGCAAAAATGATACTCGACATGACTCCTACAAAAGACAACTTCCCTACAAATTTTTATGATGCAAAGAGGTTGGTGTCAAAGTTGGGTTTAGAAGTAAGAAAAAAATTGATTGTTGCATCAGTGGTTGCATGTTGTTTTATGACAATGAGTTTGGTACTAATGATGGAGCGTTGGAGGAATGTAAGTTCTGTAAGAGTCCAAGATATAAAGTTAGTAGTAAAGCTATTGCCCGTAAGCAAAAACATGTAACAGTGAAGTCCATGTTTTATCTTTTAAGAATACCAAGGTAAAAAGAATGCTTGCTTCAATGTACAGTGCAAGTCAAATGACATGGCATAATACAAACAAAACAAGTCCAGACATTATGCGACATCCATCTGATGGCGAGACATGGAAGCACTTTGATCACATACATACTGATTTTGCCGTAAAACCTAGAAATGTGAGGCTTGGATTATGCTCTGATGGTTTTACTCCATGTGTCCGGGAAGCGAATATTCTTGTTGGCCAGTTATTACAACCCCTTACAATCTCCCTCTTGCATGAAAAAACGATACAAGTTTTTGACCTGCCACAATCCAGGACCGTCGAGTCCAAAAGCTGGAATCGATGTGTACTTACAACCTTTAATTGATGATTTGAAGAGGTCGTGGATTAGAAAATGGACTTATGATATATCAAGTAAACAAAACTTTACTATGCGAGCTGCCTTGATATGGACTATTAACGACTTTCTAGCATATGGCATGTTGTCTGGCTGGGATACACATGACAAAATGGGATGTTCACATTGCATGGGGAACACCAAAGCGTTTACGTTAGAAAAAGGGGAAAAAAGTTTGTCGTTTGACTATCACCACATATTCCTATCAAGAAATTATCCCTATAGAAGAAATAAAATTGATTTCAAAAAAGACAAACGAGTAACAGAGTTTGCCTTCGCCTCGATTGTCACCGGGTGAAGTATGAAACTAAGTTTGTAAACTACCAAAATTCACATATACCGAAAAAGCATGTAGAATTCAAGAATATGAGGTTACACACAATTAAACAAAAAGAAGTATATTTTAGAACTTCCCATATTAAAAAGATAATTTGTTGTGCCATTATCTTGATGTTATTAGACATATTAAGAGTAATTTTTTTATAAACAAGTGTAAATTCAATACATAAACTCAAAATTCAAAATCTATTACCTAGAATACCTATACAAAACACCATGATTTTTTTTTCAATTCTAGAAAACTAATTAAAATGCTACACAAGAATGAACACAAAATTCAGAACCATATATAAAACTAATAATCATGAACAGAATTTAGGCAAATATATATTATTGTTCATCATAGTATGAACCCCTGACTTCTTTACACAAGCCAGATGGGTCCCACCTTCCAATTCTCCAAATTTCTTTACCTCTTCACCATCATAAGTTACCTTTTCAACAACATCCTCTTTCACATCTATGTTCTTGATGCTTTTACCAAACATGGAGTCAAAGAAGTTTTTCAAATGATCGTTTTCTTGAAGTAATGTTTTCATTCGACTCTGTCTAGTTACATGAGCTCTTGGTTTTGTTTCCGAAGGAAATACTAGGTTTCTAGTAAGATGTCTCAAAATATCTTGTGACAGCTTCTCATGGTTTAGTATACAACATATATTCATCTTTTCTTTTTCATCTATTCCTGCATGAACCTATGAATCTTTGTCAGTTAAATTCTCAAATATGAAAGACAATTTAATTTCTAGTATAATACTAAAAGCTTATAAAATAACTTGATCAATACATCGTTTTAACCGTGTTTATCTCAATGTTTTAAAAACTAGACTAGAGATTGAACTAGGGAAATTTTCGGTTCAACGAGCTTGCAACATAGTTGAGATCAAACTAATGAAAAAATTGGTTGGTTTCTAGTTCAACCGGCCTATTGAGTCTTGTTTTTAAAACAATTACAATCCATCGACCATGATTGTAGTAACATTTCATCGTGATTCTCCACAATATTAAATATCATCAGGACCATGATTGTGATTTACACCTAATATAATGTACAAAGTCATCTTAAAAGACGTGCAAAATAAATTATCACATAGACTTAAATTTGTCACGGTTAAACGGTAGTTAAACAGTATTTAAACTGAACTTTATTATCTGTATCATTGTATTAAAATATGATTAAATAAGATGTTTTACTGTTTTGTCAAGGTTGAACTGTGACTAATTTAAACAGAACCTAAAATACGACTTTGTGAATTACAATGTAAACAATTAAGATTAATAAAGTAGTAGCATACCTTTAGGTACATATCCATGGCTAGATATAATTGATCATGTGATTCCCTCACAGAATCTGGGAGTACCATAACCAGTTCTTCAAATTCACAAGGTTGAAGATGAGGATCAGGAGCAACTTCCACAAGAAACAAATCCATCATTTTAACAACTCTCTTAACTCGGTTCGAATTCAACTCAAAACTTCCTCCTCCTAACAAAAAAATCTTCATAACCCTTAAAACAAAATCAACATCATATGCATAATCTTTCCCAAGTGGAGATGGAAGAAGTAGATAATCTATTGTTACTTGATCCAAAATAGGACCTATAAGACTCTCTATATTGTTTCTACAAAATTTTCCTATTTTCAAACTAATCGCGACCCGGTTAAGATTAAATAAATCCTTGCAAGAAATCGATCCGTTGTCAAGCAATGAAAGAAGATTGATCACAACCTTCATTGTCTCAATCTTAACATCTAGTGAAGCATCAACGCAACTCGAATTATGATAATAGAATAGAAACTTCGAAACAACGTAATGATCAAAATCGTTATATATCATTTTCCTTATGACATTCTCCAACAAATCAATCTTCAAAAACAAAAGATGTTCAAACCACCATGTAGCTTCGGAGAAGCTAATGATACTACTTGTGTCGCAAGAAAGCTTGAAACTTGATCTGTTTGAAGAACATGTGTATGGACTTGTAATGGTACATGGAGAAGCTAACCTTTCTATGAACTCATCCATGATTTTGTCGAGAATCGCTAAGTAACCTTTGGAATGAAAAAATTTCTGACATTGTTTCAATGCTTCCATGAGCTCAAACCAAGTCCAAAATCGAATCCCTTCTAGAAAATTTTCAATATGTCGCTTCGAGATCGATGTTTCGAGACTATTACTAAATTCTCCCATCTCCAAAAATTGAGCAGCAGAATACAGTATGGACACATTGGATGAAGCTAACTCCATTTTACTACAATAGTAGCAAAATTAATTAGACTAATTATGAACTCAAAGCATGAGATGAAATTCATCATGAAATTAAGTTATACAAAATTAAATACATAATAAAGTATTGAGAATTTGAAACATTAATAATGAACTTCGTGGAATCCATAATGATGAAGGTTTTAACAAGAAGGTCCACTTTGTGACATGCTTGCAATATTTTAATGATGGTGTAATGCAATGTTAAGTGTGTTAATTTTATCATTATGTTGGAAGTAATCAATCTTTCACTAAAGAGAGAAACAACATGTTGATTAGTTAAAAACAAATATTCTCACCTTGTTAACAATGAAAGTGTCTTCTCCTTTGTTATTCACTTCAAGTTTCTTTTCCAAAATCAATTAGTACTAATTATATGCCAGTATTTAAAAAATAAACATTTGTAGGGCATGAAGATGCTATGTGAATGATGAAAGAGTAATGAAAAAAGGGAAGTTAATGGGAACATGTATGCTGTAAAGGATGCTTAGCCAGAAGAGAAGAATGGTGTGAAATGTGAATAGAAAAGGTGTTGTTTAATATACATGCTTTATTTAATTGAAAATTTTGTGTATTTAATTATTTGAAAATTTAAAAATTAATTTTTCAAACACAAATTTATTTATAGATTCATTAATAGGAGGAACTCTCATAGTCATAGCACGTGACTTTCTTTAAACATGTAGCCATGATTAAAAAAAATCATCTTACTTTCTAATTGTTGTATTTGTAAATAAATAAATTATAGTTATTATCTTTAAATTTTAATTTAACATTAAATGTTATTGTCAATATCACATATTCACCCCTATTATTTATTGTATTAAAATTAAAATTAAAATTATTATAAAAAAATATTATATATATGAGTGTGAAAATTAAAGTGACAATTAAAACAAAAATTAAGGTATAAACATGTAGCTATTGCAATAAATTTTTTTAACCATGTCAATTTATGTGTTCAAAGCACAAACTAACAAACTCTAAAATAGAAATTTTGTATTTTAATAATAAATATAAAATTTTCTCTGTTTCTTTAATTTTTTATTTTATTTTACCTTTCTTCTCTCAACAACTTTAGCAATCTCTAAACTTCTTTAGTAATAGTGGGGCATCACTTCATTTATTGTAACTTTTTGGGATGCCTAATAGAAAAAAGGAAACGTGGTAGGAGACTACATGTTCATGTTAGAAACATGTGCTAGAACACTGACCATGTGCATTAGTCATAATCATTATTCTACCAGTTCACAATTAAAATTGACCAAATGTAACATTTTCTCTTTTTCCGTTACTCATGCCACCAATTCATGCTATTGCTTACTTCACCAATGCAGTATAGCCACTAAGTGGACATTCAATGGAATACACATGAAATGACCAAGAAAATCAACACAATTGTTTTCTTTTGGGTGAAAAGAACTTTGACCCAAAATTCAAGAGACCGTTATTGCTGACAATGTTCAAAAAGAGGTTTCAGACTAGCATAAACAATAGGTGAATTCAAACTTTTACAATAGTAACCAGACATCAACCTTAACATAATGTACCTAAGAAATGACTTGTTGCCTGTACCTTACACATCTTACACATTAACAAATGACAGATATTGTAACAGAAGACTATATTTGAACTTCATGTCACACCTATACTGGGGTGGAGGGATTATAGCGACAAAAACTCCGATAATAATAGTTGAAATATTAAAGAAATTTCAGTTTTCCATTGGAAATAGAATCCTTGACAAGCTCCATATGGCATGAAGCTTTCTGTGCTCCACTCAACCCAGAACAGGAGCCACTTCCTATAGTGATTGCGAAGTAAAGATAAACAGTGCATAGAATAGTAAGGAGCACGAGAGCAGATAAGAGGTAGCGGTGCCTCTGGAAAAGTGTTGACCAACTACCAAGTCCATCCTTGGGTCTACGGATAGATGGAGCCTTTAAACGAGGAGAAGAGGATGACAGAATGGTGTCAAGAACCATGGCTTTTGCAATAACCTTCTTCTGCGCGCTTGAAGCTGCAAATCATGCCACAAACACTGGTAAAGATGTGATTACATGAAAATCATATGAAAAGCTAAAAATGAGACATATCAAGCTTGCTGTTTGACTTTTCATGCAGACATCACAGCACGAGTTTTTACCTCGCAGAAAATACTATAAGGAGTTTTGATATCAAGTAATCGACTATTTAGCAGTTACTTTTTAATGGGCAAATGAATAGCTGTTACTTACAGAAATGAAAAACACGTGAAATCGTGACCAGATATTAGTTCAGAATCTAATAATGAGAAATTTAGAACTCTAATAGGCGACCAAGTCTCTAATACCTAATCCTTCATAAAGATCACTAGTCAATGTTTGTAGAATAGCGGCATTATAATGCTAAAGCGAAGTATAAAATAGCGGCATTATAATTCTATAGATAAGTATAATTTGAAAACCATATTTGTATACTTGTTTGTTGATATGTAATTTTATAAAGTATTGTCAAATAGCGGCATTATACGGCTATAGAGAAGTATAATTTTAACAAACCGTATTTGTTTTGTGATGTGCAATTTAATAAAGTATTGTCAAATAGCGGCTTCAACTTCACTATAGCACTAACATATTGGATATTAACTCAATGAGATAAGGAAAAAATCAAACCATTAGTCTGCATGTACTAAATTTAAATTGAAAAAAGAGCTTTGTAGCACAAACACCTTTGAACAAAGTAGTATCCGATACGACACCACTCCATTCAATTACGTTACAATTTATGTCAGTGTTAGTGTCGTGTCTGTGCCATAAAGAGACTCTCTGCAACAGGGTTGTCTAGTGGTGCATACCGGAGAGCCAAAAACCCACAATATCAGCCATGTATATCCGCGAAGGCAGATATTTGATTACACATCTCTGCAACAACAATTATGGACACAACGCATGGTTTTTCCCGTCTCCACAACCATAATTACACACACACCAGCCTTATTCGATTGCAATTTTTTGCAATATTAATGATTGCAAACAAACTACAATACACACTAACAAGATGCGATAACAACAACAATAAATCACCAAAAGAAACCAAAACAAGCTTCTTACTCCTAAATCAGCTACAAATATTAACATTCAACAAACAACAATCAAGGATCTTTCAATCCTCAAGCTTCTACACAAATCAATTTCCCCCTTTTTTCTCATAATACACGAGGCAAACACATAATCCATCATGAATCACAAGCTAAGAATTCCAAATTTCAAATTCCAAGAACACAATCATCATTCAATTACATTACAATACAATAAAAAATATTAGGTTAGAAAAAAGGCACAGATCTGATAAATCGAAAATGAAAAGAAAAGAAAAAGAAAGATAGATACGTACCTTAGAGTTACGTTCCGTTTGGTTCCGTTAACGAAAACGAAAGCCTCGTCTGTTAATTTTTGTGTAAAAACCAAACGGGCGCAAGGAAGAAGAAGATTGCGACGGTGGAGAACGTAACGATCGTTTGTTCGTTCGATCGTTCGCTCACCGCCCAAAAGTGAAATGATGTGAAAGTGAGAATAATAAATAAGAAAAAACAGCGGTCAGTTAATAGATAAAGGTTCGTTCGGTCAATACGCGTCAGAAACTCAATGCTCTCTATTATTGTCGTGATCCTATTAGTACTAGTTTCCTATTTTTTATTTATTTTCCTTTTCTGTTTTATTTTGATTTTTTGCTTTTATTAATTAATTTGATTAAATGTTAGTCATAGTTAACGATGACATGTGTCAATATGTCTTATGGGATGAGTATTCAAGGAAATGAGACAGGGATCTTCGGTAAACTGGTTAGTTACTGATTGCCATATATAACTAACAATATTTTATTCCATACAATTAACAAAATTTACTAGTAATAAATCGAATATATATATATATATATATATACATAAAATAAACGATTAAAGTTGCACAAACTTAAATGTTATTAATGTTTTTCGATATAACAAAATTTCGAATAGAATCACTCGATCTAACTTTTTAAATATAGAAGTTACTTAGACTCTAAAGAGTTTCGACAGTCTAAAATAAGATATGCAAAACTTGCCATTGTAAAATGAGGGACACGTTTTACTAAGTAGAGGTGGCAAAATGAGTTGTTCGTCCCGTCCTGTCCCACTCCGCTCCGTCTTAAACCCGTTAAAAAAAGGGCGGGGCAAACAAGTCCGCCAAATAAAAATGAATATAAAAATCTAACTCGATTCATCTATATGGTGAGTTAGCGGGCGGCAGACTTGTCCGCTTACTTTTTTATTTTTTATTTTTTTTAATAGATTAATAGACTTGTTTTTACATTTCAAATAGATTTTTCACTTATTTTTAGAATAATTTTTATAAAGCGTCTTTTTAACAAATTTAACTCCAAAAAATATTGTATATATTCTCAAATAAATATATAAAATAAAATCATCAAGAATTGGAATTACTAGAATAAACTAAAAATGGACGGGTTTAAGGTGGGACAAGTTGAACGAATAAGTGAGACGGGTTTTCACGGGCGGCGGATTTTGACGGGGCGAGTGCTGGTCTTTAGCAGGGCATACTTTGGTGGGCGGCTGACCCAAAATCCAAACCCAACCCGCCATTTTTTGGCGGGTGCGCGGGCCGACCTGATGGGTCACAACCTGTTTTGCCACTCCTATACCCAAGCCACAATATCAGCTTAACCATAACTCAAGAGATTAGCTCGACTTTGTTGACTCGACAATAACTCAAATAACATTATCAATCAAAAAATTTAAACAATGTCGATCACTACTGGTTTAGTGGTGGAAACGGTCATCACTAGGTTCTAAAAAGGAATTTCTACTAATAGGTTTCTGAATAAGGATTCGTTGAGCAAGCAATGGCTCGACCAACTAAATCTGGTCAAAGACATTGGTCACTGATGCTTTTTCTTTATCATTTGTATAAAGCTACTATGAGTAAGAATGGCTAAATTCTCTTTTCTTAAGGTTATATGTAGCTAAATTCTCTTTTGTGTTGGAATTAACCCAAAACTTTGAGAATCCCAAATCAATCTTGATGAACAAGATTCAATCAACCGATCGAAATCCCTTATTTTTCACTCTTCACTCGAGCGAATCAATCACAACTTGATTGCAAGAATGATTTTGCGCAGCAATTCATAATGGAAGAAGACGAAGAAAGAAAATCTAATAATAAAGAAGATTTGGGTTTGACAAAAACTGGGGAAGAAAAATATGATTTCTGCATAGTCTCTATGTCCCCAAATTGTGGAAATCTTATTAATTTTGTAACTGCAAGTGATTACAAGATTATTCTCTATTTTTCGTACTCAAAATATGGATTACTCCCTCTATTTATAATTGAGCTAGCTTGCACCCTAAGGTAAAGCCCAAAATACACAAAAGCCCAAAATACCTATTTTGGTCTAAGTCGAAATCTCGTGTCAAGCAACCTACTTCGACACTTCGACAATACACACTAAACGTTTTGACACATCCTTTTTTCTATCGAGCACTACCTACTTCGACACAAAGAATTATAATCTAAATACACCACTTAATTCATTGTATCTAAGCTATCTATGTTCATCATAGATTTTAGCTTCTTGAAGACTTCGACTTGCATTCCTTTCATCATGATATTTGCAATCTGATTCTCAATTCTACAGTGTTCCAAGTTCATCCTGTAACGCCCATTTTAATTATTTTTGGCTTTCGGGATTATTTTATTTGAGAATGTGCTTGAGGATTATTTTTGGAAGGATCAAGAACTCATGATATTGGTATACAGTGATAAAAATATGATATTTAATAGTAATGTGATATTATTATTAATTATTATCATTTTTATTACTAATATTAATTTTATGAGTAAGATTATAATTTAATTGGACTTTTTGAAATAAAAAGAATTATGAGGAATATTATTAATTGGGGATTAAAATGAGTTATTTGGAATATAAGGCATTATTGGCAATTGGAAAGAAGAGGAGAACACACGTACAGTGAAGAACACGGTTGAACAAGAGGAGAGCTACACGATCAAGAACAGCAACTTAGCAAGCGGATTTCGTGTGGATTGAAGAACTTGTTCATCATCAAAGCTTGAATTGAGGTAAGGGGGGAGAATAATCGGTTGAATTTGGTAAATGCATGATTAATCGGTAGAAAGGGGGAAATACCTAACCCCATAGATTTCTTGATATTTGATGTCGATTGCATGTTGTTATTGTTGTGATTGTTGTGTTGTTTGATGTTTAATTCGTTGCATGTGCTGAGAATGATAGATTGGATGAAATTTTGGATTTTTAGTTAAGTTCGAAGTTGAGCCGGAAGTTGGTTTTGAGAGCTGAGTTGATGATAGTCGGATAGAATCGGGGAATAGACTCGTAGTTCAGTTGTACTATGTTGTTGGTCGTGGGTTTCGATTTAATCGGGCGAAATCAGTGAGGGAGGCAATTCTGCAATGCAGAATTTTTCTGTGTACGCAGGTATTCGCTGGGCGAATGGGGGAGAGCCTTCACCAGGCTTCGCCGGGCGAACTAGTCAGCGAGTGCTGGCAGAAGCTTCTGTGTGGCTTCGCCAGGCGAATGGCAGCGAGTGTTCGTTGCGGGGCTTCGCCGGGCGAATGTGCCAGCGAGCTCGACAGCAGGTTGTGTTTTTGCTGTTGATTTTGTGTTGTTCCCTTGTGAACTTGGACCCTTGTTGGTCAAGAGCAACGAGAGGCTTGCTGGAGATGCTGATGCAAGCGTATGTTGGTGGTTGTAGGGCTGTTTGGCCGGCGTTTATCGCAAGTGGCATAATCATTGAATTACGCATTATGGAATGAACCGGAGTGGATGCGTACGTGAGATATGTGCACCGTATGCGTGTTGTGTGTGAGATGTGAGGATCAGTATGATCGTGGCACCTTGAGTGCGTTTTGTTGGTGTGTTGTGGTAAGTGGATCCGTGAGGATCGGTACGCTGATTATGCGTTGCA